CCTTGATCTTATATGACACATGTTGGATGAATTCATAGGTCCTTCATCAGCTCAAACTGATGATGAGGGGAAAGAAAATGCCCTATATTATGTGAGTCATTGTTTCATACCCATTGAGATGAAATATTCGTTAATTGAAAACTATTGCTTGGCATTGATATTTACAGTTTAGAAATTGAGACCTTATATGATTTCTCATCGTATTAGTCTAATCTCAAGGGTTAATCCCTTACAATATCTTATGATTCGCCCGAATTTAGTGGATTGGTTGCTTAAATGAGCTTTGATATTATTATGGTTTGATATCACTTATGTGCCTTAATGAGCTGTTAAGAGTCAAGCCCAAGAAAACTTATTGATTGTTCATCCTATACCGACAGTCTTGCCTTTTAGCAATGATCTATGGGATGAGTGCATTCTAGAGTTTAGCACCTAAAATGGGAGCTATATTTTGATGGTGTTTCTTCCTTGAAGGAAGACCCCTTTGGAGCCATCTCACATGTTCAAGATGTGATAAGACTCGTGTTTATCTTACTCGATCGTAAAATCTTACTCTATTTTTATAGTTTGATTGAGCCATGTACAAATAATGATGTAGAGCACAAAGCTCTAATCCTAGGACTAGAAATCTATGTTCAAATGAATGTGAAGAGAATTAAAGACTATGCTAATTCTTAGTTCATGATAAACCAAGTGATGAGTATTTATAGGCTAATAAAATCCAAGCTTTTGAGTTATCAAAAACAAGTCATGACTTTGTTGACTTATACTTGTGTTGTGACCCTTATTAGGATTTCGTGATCAACAAAGGGTAAGGTCAACTAGCTACTTGACAATGATCTCCTAAATGAGCGCATTATGGAGGTTAGTACCCTATAATGGGAGCTGCATTGATTGTGTGTCTTTCTTGAAGGAAGTTCCCTCAAGAGTCATCTGATACATTAAAGTAAGAATATGACTCATGTTAATCTTGAGTTCTCACAACATCCTACATTATTCTTATGGTTTGACGAAGCCACACAGAAATAATGAGACATTATAAATCTCTAATCATAAGACTATAGATCTTTATTTAGATAAATATAAAGTGAAATATCTATGGAGATTCTTAGCTCGTGATAAACCCAAGTGATGGGCACTTATAGGTTATCGCAAACAAGTCATGGCTTCAATTACTCGTGTTCTTGATGTAAACCTTGTTAAGAAATTATGATTGATAATGGTAAAGCAAATGACTTATCACTATTGGTCAAAGTACTATCTAGCAACTGATACGCCATCAATAAATTTTCATCATCCATCACAAATCTCGAGGTGTGAGACAAATCTCGAGGCAATATTTTGAGTAAGAAATATTAAAATCTTGACAAAAAGTCATCCAGATATTCGATTTCAGCAAACTTGTAGTCAAACTGACCTACTCGATGAGACAGACCTAATGATGTCAAAATTAGTCCAATCTGAGTCAGATCAAGCCCAAATAAAATCATTAAACAATCTTGGAGGATTTTCATATACATTTGGAAGGTCAAATGGATGTCGAATTTAGCGAGTTCATAGTTGAATCAGCGTCTCGATAAGTTGAATCCAACGAGCCCAAGATTGCTCAATTCCGACATCGTTAAGGCGCTCAAATGTCCATCACACGCCATCTGATCGCGGGGAGTTCTCCGGACCGTCCGATCAAAATGAATCATATTTCTGCATTAATTGCACTCATAACACTATAAATAGAGCTCCACCCCTCACATGAGGAGGATGTGGGAGAGAGAACTTGAGGAGGAGCTCAAGTCCAACATCATTTCTGCCATCGTCGATCGTCGTCGACCACCACAGACCGTCAACGACCAATGCCGACCTCCGTCGACCACTGTAGATCACCGCCGACCACAACTGACCAAACGCCATCAGTCGACGTTGTAACTTGGAAAATCTAGTAACTCTTTCCCACAGTCTGTGGGACAAGTGTCCTCTTTAATCATCAACTTATAGTGAATTTTTATAACTGAGTCAGTTCTTGTGGTTTTTTTCCCTTCACTGGTTTTCCACGTAAAAACTTCTGGTATCATCACAGGTTGTTTCTCTTTCATCTGAGTGTGTGTTGAATCCTCGTGCGACGCTAAGACATCACAATTTTTTTAGAAAATTATTATTTTATTTTTATTTAAAAAATTAATTATTATAATAATTTTATATTTTAACGAGTAAATATCGAATCGAACACAAACATGATTAAGTTTTCGAGCCAAACATGAACACACTGTTCGCGAGCCATTTCAAACACGAGCCAATTTCGAACGAGCTGAACGCGAGCTCAAGCTTGACTCTTTTTCAACCCTAGCTGCGGTTTGACTTTTTATGAAATTTTTTTTTTGTAATAGCCACAATAACATTTTGAACGTCAACTTCTTTTTCAAGAATCTCTCTTCAAACACCTAAAGCTGCCCCAAATAGGGGTGTAAATGAACCGAACACGAACAAACATAGCTCGTGTTCGTGTTTGGTTTGTTTGAAATTAATTGTGTTTGAATTAGGCTCGTGTTTGAAATTATTCGTTAAAGGTGTTTTTCGTGTTCAGTTCGATTTGTTCGAAATAAGTTTGAATTGTTCGAAATGTTAGGTATGGCTCATATACTAGTAATTTGGAGTCTCTTTGATTTGGAGAGGTGTGTCTCCTGGAATGAAGAAATGTGTCTCTTGGTGTGAAAATGTGTCTTTTGGATTAGCGGGTTGGGGGAGCAAGGGCGTTTTTGTAAATTTATTTGTGGTTTTTATCTATAAATAGATGTGTAACCCTATGGGTATGGTAACCCTATGGGTAAAATAGATGTGTAACCCTATGGGTATGTAACTCTTCTGAAATAGTGAATTCGCCGCTCTGCACCCGAGGATGTAGACATCTTTGTTGAACCTCGTTAATTCTCTATTCTTCTTCTGGATTTGCATTGTTTCACCATAAATTTCTCAACAATTGGTATCCGAGCGAGGTTTTAGGGTGGAGGAGATCAACGCAGGAAGAATGAGGAAGAAGAAGGTTTTGGTTCGGCGATTTGTGGCAGTTCCTAGGGTGTTCGCGAAAGATCTGCGTTTGCGGCAGATCAGATCAAAGTAGAAACGCCGGAAGGAGTGCAAGGCCAGACGAGTTATGCGACAATTTGGCCACAGAAAGTTTGGAAGCGAAGGCGAAGGAATCGGCGAACAGTTTCACAGTTGTTCGAAGTTTGTGCTTCGGAGTTTTTCTGGCTTCGGTGAATTCGAACGAGGGAGGAGTTCGCGAATCGCTTGCGGGAAGGAGTTCCCGTGGAAGTTCAGCGAATTCTGCCAGCAGAGTTCGCAAATTTGTCGCAGGAGGAGTTGCAGCAGGTGCATTGTGAGAGGTGGTGTTCAGTCAATCGAGTTCGCAAGTTTGTCGCAGGAGAAATTGCGGCAGGCGGAGTTCACAAATTTCGCAGATTGTTCGCAGGTTTGTCGCAGGAGAAATTGTGACATGTGGAGTTTGGCTGGTGTCCGCAGTATTTCAATTGAATTTTTGTGCGAACAGGAAAGATGTTTCGTGTGAGAATTTTGATTCACGAATCACAGGAAACTGCGGGAAAATTGTTGCAATTGACAGAAGAAATTTCAAGTTTATTTGAATTTTTGTGTGGTGTGTTTTGTTTCAATACAAGGTAGGAAAAGTTCACTGCATTACTAATTTCAAATGATAATATCTGGTGCAAAATTCGAGATAATGAAGTTCGATGAAACATGGAACTTCAGATTGTGGCAAACAAATGTGAAAGATTTGTTGGCACAACAAGGAATTTTGAAGGCATTGCGAGCTATGAAATCTGATGATAATATCTATAAACTGTTTAGGAGTACAGCTGTAGGTGAAGTTCACTCTGTCGAATCATATGATGAAAATGCAGCAGGAAAGTTAACCAAGTCAGGTATTTTCAACAAGTTCTTGCGTTACTTGAATTTGTTGATTTGTTGAATGTTTGAATTTGTTGAATGTTTGCAGTTGCTAGTTGGCATGGTTGCCCAACCCACTTCGGTGTAAGAAACTTCATGATTTTTTCTCCTAAGGGGTTGGACATTCGCAAGGTGGAGATTTTTCTCCTAAGGGGCTGGATATTCACAATGTGGAGATTTTCTCCTAAGAGGTTGGATATTCACAAGGTGGAGATTTTCTCCTAAATATGTATTTTTGGATAATTGCCAAGGTGGAGAATTGTTAGGTACGACTCATATACTAGAAATTTGAAGTCTCTTGGATTTGGAGAGGTGTGTCTCTTGGAATGAAGAGGTGTGTGGTGTGAAGAGGTGTCCTTAGATTAGTGGGTTGGGGGGAGCGAGGGCGTATTTGTAAATTTATCTGTGGGTTTTATCCAAAATAGATGTGTAACTCTTTCGGTATGAACTCCTCTGAAATGGTGAATTTGTCGCTCTGCTCCCGAGGATGTAGACATCTTTGTCGAACCTCATTAAATCTCTATTCTTCTTCTGAATTTGCGTTGTTTCACCCTAAATTTATCAACACGAAATGTTTGAATGGTTCAAATTGTTCACATTATTCAAATTATTCGAATTGTTAAAATATTAAAATTTATTTGTATATTTGAATTGCTAAAATATTATATTATTTATATTAATTAAAATAAAATAATATTAAATTAATATAACTAATACTAATATATTTTTATTGTTATTAATAATTTATTATATATTATAATTTATAGGATTTAATTATTTAAAATATGATAATTTTTTATAAAAAATAATATTTTTAAAAATATCCTAAATTTTTTATGTAAAACTATTTTAAATTATTTTATATTTCGAACAATAACGAATAAAAAATAAACGAACACATCAATGTTCTTGTTTAGTTCGTTTAACAAACCGAACGAAAAAAATTGTTCGTGTTCGTCTCGTTTGCTTATCGAACGAATCGAACACGAACTCTCTCGTGAACCGAACACGAGCTCCCTTGTGAACCGAACACGAGCTCCCTCGTGAACCGAACACGAACTCTTCGCGAACGAGCTTTTTTGACGGCCCAAGCCTCAAACAAATCTATATAGATAGATTTAGGGACATTGGCAAACACTTTTAATCGAATTTATAAGTGAAAATCTGATGAATTTATGGATACCAAATCAATTTTGCCTTTTGATACGACCTAAATCCTAGCTTTATTAAATCACGGACTTCATTGAATTTATGTATTTACAGATCTATGGATTCACTGAATCTTATTAATTTTAAATCATATTTGCAGCGAAATTTTCTCATGGGGCGATATGTAATTATAATGTTTAATGAGCTGTGTTTGTAAAATCCCCAAATTAAAAATCCATAATATAAGCGAAATTTAAATCGTGGGTATTGGTTCTGCAATTCTCATTCGCCTTCTGCGGATCACTCTGGCTGTAAACCCTCTTCACGCTCCACCACGCCGGAAGAACACTGCTGCGAAATCTTAACAGCCGTATTATCGTCGCCGACAATGGACTTTCAGGTCGTCGTTCTCGCCGGCGGGGATTCGAAGAGACTCGCTCCTCTCGTTTCCGAGGCACACTTTCTTCTTTAGCCTCCTTTTCGTTTTCTATTCTTCTCGATCGCGATTTCGATCTTCTCTGACACGGACTCATCTTCACTTCGCGATGCAGGAGATACCTAAGCCATTGCTACCCGTGGCTAACCGCCCCGTCCTCTCTTACGTTCTCGAGCTCCTTGAAGCTAACAACCTCAAGAATCTAATTGTCGTACGTTTATCATTTTTTAAAGACTCGTAGCAATTCTATTCTATGCTTGGAAATCTTAGTTGGTTATATTTCCACGATGCTCAGGTTGTTGAGGGAAAAGATGTTGCTCTTCGTGTCGGTGGATGGATCTCCGGTGCCTATGTTGATCGTCTTCACGTTGAGGTATGTTTTTGGTTGTCAATTTATAGTTTTTTAATTTTGTTTTTTTTTTTTGGTGAATGTGTTGGTTGGGTAATGGCTGCACTGTGATCCAACCTCTTTCCTGGAATTCTACGGACGACCTTTTGATACTAGGTGCATGGAGTACTTCGACTGAATTTGGCTGTTAGTTTTGGACTGATGAAGCTGCATTTATTTAAATATAAAAGTTTACACAAAATTTAATAGTTTTGGACTGATAGTTTTGAGTTTCGTTGTGGTGATTTGAACTGGTATTTACAGGTCGTTAAGAATTTATATATTTGTATATCTTTGGAAGTTAAGGAAGTTTGCTGTAAAGCCTATGAAAGGTGACATTGTGGCTAGTCGATATTTATTACACAAAATTTAATAGTTTCTCAGAATATGTCGCTACCACATGTCATGTCATAATTTGTACTCAGGGTTACCTAGTATTTTACACTGTCATAAAGCTGGTAGGATTGACATCCTCTGAGAAAAACAGTTAAATAGCTACTTTATCCACTATTTTATATCTACTTTTATTAAATAGTTGGGTTAAGGTTAATATTAACAATCATTTATTATTTGTAAAATATAGCTGACTTATGAGTTGGCTTGTTGTGCTAAGTAACTAATTTATTTTGATTGTTTGGTTTATAATCTTTTCTGTTTTGTTTTTCTAAAACTTTTTCCTCATCAATTATGTTAAATACTCCTACCATCTCAATTTAATATATGTAGTTTTTTTGAGACGCATCGGTAAAACCTAGGTACTGATGCAACATTGGTTCTTTTCTCATTTTCTCTTTGTTTTCTATTCGTGTAATTATCAGTTGGACATCTAGCCCCAGCCAACCCCCACCTCAACCCCTTCTCCTACCCTTCCATTCCCCTTTATACATGTTTGCGTGCATGTGCATTTGCTACTCATTTGATCCTGCATATTTATGCTTGGGCCTGTGCGCATTTGCATCTATGCATGCACATGTTCCTGTAGTCACCATATATATGCGATATATGGTGCCCTCTTACTTGGTAATTTTTATTTTTAACCTGCTTTCTACGAGTTATGAATTGTATTTCAAGTTCCTTTTTTTCAACTTGTCTTGCAAGTTTGAATTTAAATTGTATGAAAAAAATAATTTTATGCTTTGTACTATGATTTTTTATACCATTATAAATTGATTGTCACTTGTCATCTTTAGATTTGCTAGAAGAACATCATCATCATCACCACATCATTAGCCTTATATTGAGTGTATTTTGTCTGCTTTTATGAATCTTTATTCATTCATTTTTTTCAAATTTGGCCCATGTTGTTATACCAAGTCTTAGTAAATTATTTAGGCCCATCCCTTCTACTCCCTTTTATCTTTTAATACTAATTTTACCCACTTGTCCAATGGGTGCATTTTATTTCATTCATCGTACTAGTCTAAAGACTCTAAACTGCCTAACTCTATGTTCAAATGCCATTTCTTTGATACATATGCTGACTCTAATACGATCATTCTATAACTGAACTTTCTTGAGTTTTCATGCATCCATCTTAACATACTTATTTATACTACACTCAAATTACATGTTAATATTGCCCTGCCCAATACCCATACTTGTGGCTCTGTATAGCATTACATGCCAAATTGTGATTTTCTAAATTTTTTGTTTAAGTTTTTTATGAAAGCCTCTTATCCTATATTACTTTGAGGCACTTTCTCCATTTTAACCACCTGGTCTTAACGTGAGAAGTTATATTCTAAAAGCATCGCTATTCTTCTATATACTTGATCCAAAATATTTAAACATATTACAATAGGATGACTTTATCTTATATGAATATTGATTGATTATTGTTAATATGTCAATTACTAAAATCATTTACCATATATTTATTTATTATTCAACTAATTCTAAGCTTTTCAAATTTTAAATATTTTCATTGTTCTATTGTTTCATTTATTTTAATGGATGTCTTACTTATTTGAATTGCAATTTGCAAAAAAACATAATTTATAGGATTTGTTAAAAGATATTATATCTTATTGCATTGTATGTTTAGTTTTAACCAACTTTGATATGCAAGGGTGGGACAAGTTTAGTATAAAGCATCTAGTTTGCACTATTTTGAATATACTAGATGTTAACTATGTAATGTCTAGTATAGCATCTAGCATTTGCCCTATTTTGAATATACTATGTTAACTATGTAAGTTGATTGTGCTTTCCCCTCAGAATTTATCTATAAATTGAAATTGAGGTAACATTATGCTCTCTGTGTTATGATTATCAGCTAAGAATATTATTTTTATGCCCGTAAAAACAATGATTTTAACTCTCTTACAGTGAATTCATATGCACATTTTGTTTAGATGTCAATTTTTTTTGTTTTTCTATAACTTCTGTGTGTTATATTATTAATAATTGTTCTTTATTATTTCATCTTTTCTTTATAAACTGCTAGTACTCTTGCTACTAATAGACTTGACTGTGATTAAGTTGCATTGTCTGTAGAAATCACTGAAAACATGTGTTCTCGTTCTATAATCACCAAATATTTCATGCTTAAAGCCAAGATTACTCAGGCTAAAATTTATTATGCTCTGATTATAATTATTTTCTATTTCTAATGGTTTTCTTTAGATAATTGGCATTGAGCATGGTTATTACTTGGTAAAGTATTTTATTCCAACTGCATTTAGTAAATGGGTTTTTTTCAGAAAATTTGGATCTTGTATTATTTGAATATAGCTTCAAGTATCCTAGAAGTTTTCTCAACTATGTATACACATTCTTTTTATAGCTTTTCCATTGCTTCCACAACTATTGATATTCCATTGTTATTATGCAGGTTGCTGCAGTTCCCGAGGAATCTGGTACTGCTGATGCATTGCGTGCTGTTGCTCACCACTTTACTGCAAAGGATATTTTGGTATTTCTTCATTTTCGGAAAAATCTAAGGTTTATTTTATTGTGTTATGAACACTTCTGCTCCTTGCAGGTTGTCAGTGGGGATCTCGTTTCTAATGTGCCTCCTGGGGCTGTCGCAGCAACACATAGACGGCTTGGTGCTATAGTGACCGCACTGCTTTGTAACACTCCTATTAGCGGACCCTCTGAAAGTGGATCATCTATAGTAAAGGACAAGGGAAGGAAGCCACCCCGTGTCAATATTGTCGGGCTGGACCATACACGACAATACTTATTACATGTGGCAGCAGGTTTGGGCATGCAAAATATTTTTCATGTGTTTACTGTTTAATGTGATACAACGCTCATCAAAGTACTAAAAAATCTATTAGGCGCCGAGGTTGGTAAAGATATTAAAATTCAAAAGTGCATACTCCAGGCTAATGGTCAGGTAAGAACTAGGTTTAAATCTTTTAGCAAGGCTCCTCTGCTAATTTTTCTTCCATCTTGAACTGAGATGTTACAAATTAGCATATCTGATTTGACCCTAAACATCTGTTTGTTGTCATATTTTTGATTGAGCATTATTCTAAGCTATCTAGTTTATCATGTTGTTAGTATGAAATTGTAGAATCATTACTTATCGAGATTGTCAAGAAAATATACTTAATGCCTCACGATTCAATATTTCTAGTTACTCCGTTTACAAGTGATCTTCTTTATTTGTTATTTACGTGAGGTATTTTTGTTTATTATCTGTTCGCAATCAAATGTCAAAGCAATATCGAAATATCCTTGTAAGGTCTCGAGTTTCAATTTATAGTTATCTTTAGAGTTCAAAGTGGCTGTACAGACTTTTGAATGGTCTTTATGGTTGTATGTTTGTACAGAGTAAAAGTACTCAATGTGGGATAATTTAGGGTCTAATATGTATATATTTATAATTCTTATATATATATCACAGCTGGAAATGTGATTCACAGATCCAAGGTCACCGATTATGCAAAAGTTTTTTTTCAAATTAAAAGTTATAAGAATTAAAACCTGATTAATAATGCAAGGATTAAATAAATAAATAAATCAACAAAAGGTTTGAACAACACTAATCCGCACACAATTAAAATTTATTCACCACAATTAGAATCCCATTTGTTGTATCAAATTTGAATTAAATAAGGAACACTGGCAATACAGTGAGGCTTGTTGGCACAAGGAGATGACTTCTACTGGAATTTGATATTAGCATTGGTTTTTTTTTTTGTTTTTTTGATAGTAACACTGGTATTGAATTGGAAGTAGTTACACTTTCAACTTGCACAAAAAATATTAACAAATGGAACAAATTTTTTTATTTAGGGTTCGTTTGGTGCAACTTATTTGCTGCGGGGCGTTTTCAAAACGCCACTAAAGGTGTTTGTTTCTCGTGTCTGTGTTGTGTTTCGCGATAAGCTGGAATCATTTTCTATTAAACGCTGGCCGCAGGTTTGACCCCACGGTCCACGTTCGGAGGGAAAATTTTAGTCCTCTGCCCTTCTCGCGGAAGCATGGAGGAGGCACTCCTTTGAAGAACGGACGCCTAGTCCCGTTAAGCATGGGTTTGACCCCACGGTCCATGTTCGGAGAGAAAATTTTAGTCATCTGCCCTTCTCGCGGAAGCATGGAGGAGGCATTCCTTTGAAGAACGGACGCCTAGTCCCGTTAAGCATCACTCCACCTCTATTTCCTCTTCCGGGAGCGGCAATCCACCCTTCCTTCTCCAACTTGTTCAGAAGGCGCCTCACACAACGTCATCCTCTTCCCCACACATTCTTCTTCCCCACGAAGTTTTTCCTCCTTATCAGGACCCTGCCGTCGCTGCAGTTGTTCCTAGATTTTCCTTTCTTTCTCATAGCTTATTGGCTCATTCCCAATCTACGAGTTTTTCCTCGCCCTCCTAGGCACCCCCGGGCTTTTGGCTTCTAATCGTACGAGAAACCTTAGCAGGAAGAAGGTGGCTGGTTATCGGGGCCAAGAGGAGATAGCTTCTATTAGACCTCCTCCTGGATTTGGGAAAGCCCGCTTTGACGGTTAATAGCAAAGTGGAAGGTGGTTCCTGTAGTAAAATTGGTTTTGTTGGGTCTAACCAGCAATGGAGACTGCATAGTCGTCCTGAGTGGAGGCCTGCTTGCAATGAAGAAGGCAGGAATGAAGCAACATTTAAAATGTTGCAAAGATTGGAATCTCGAAATGATAGAACTGAGAGACAAGATGAGAAACAACGAGACGGTGGGATCTTGGATACTGATGCACGTCATAGAAGATTGCCAAGTGTATATGGTGCTCACAGACAAAAGCATTCTCACTCTTGTTACCCTGGTCGTCCTATTCTGAACAACGGTGATTTCATGGGAGAGAAATCTAGTGGAGATTCTGATAAAGATGTGATGGATAATGAAATTGTTGAACAAATCTTTCAGATTTTGGAACACTTGGATCATGTTGAAATTGGACAATTTTAAATGAGGCTTCTAATGAAGATGATTTGCTAGGAAAACAGCATGCAGCAGATCTTAGTGACCAACAATCATCTCGTGAGGCAAAAGAGAAGAGAAATGTGTGGGGTAAGATATCCTAACTGCTAAAAGAAAAAAAAGACACTCATACACACAATAAACAAAATGGAGAATCACTATTTACCATTCTATAGATTTGACGAAAAGTTCATGTCCCTTTTTGTGGCATAAAAATTGGAGCTTGGGGTCTTGTTTTTCATTAGGGAAGACAAATGGGTTCACGGGTCGGGTTCGCTGACTTAAAATTGACCTGACCCGAAACTACTTAACCTGAAACCAACCAGAATATTAAACAAGCCAGAAATTTCAATCCAAATCAAGCCCATCATCAGTTCACTGACTAAAACTTGACCTACCATGTAACCCATTTTATATAAGTAAAAACAACTATTTGGGTCAATTTAGGGTCAAATATAGGTCAAATTTGGGTTGACGGGGGTTGATTTTAATCAATTTAGGGTTAAGTATAGGTCAATTTTTTGTATTGTTATGAAGTAATTTTTTGTTTCTAAAGTATCAAATTTATAGTTATAATAGTTCTGTTGTAAACAACATTATTGAACAGGGGCATAATGGTCATTTATCCAAAAATAGCTGTAAATCAACTGTTTTTCAAACGCACAAACCAAATAGACAACCAGCTTATTCAGATAAGATGCTGATCAACAGCTTATCCAAATCAGTTGTTTATCAGCAGATTATTGATAAGCTGCAGCTGCCCCCAAACAGACCCTTAATCAATGATGTCAAATTAATGCCTCAGACCATCTACCTATTAACTCATAAATGTTGATGGATAAATTTGACACAAATGCAACTCACTTTGATTCTAGATAACATAGTCCAAATTTTATGCGAAACCAAAAGCAACAAGAATTAAGTTGGCTGTATAAAATATTTTCCTGTGCAGAGAAGCCCAAAACTTCAAAATACCATAATATGAATTGGCCATCACGTGGATTAACATGATTAACCAACTATGAAGCAGAACCCTGTTGGCAGCAGCATGGAATAGCGACACAATCTCATTATTCTCATAAGATAAAGAAGCCACTAGAGTTGACGGAATTGACACTTACTATAGTTTCTAGTGGAATACTCGCTATAGTCTTGCATATTCTACTTGACATGAAAGAATTTAACTCCGATGAGTTGAACCTTTGGTGTTTATCTATTGATATTTAAAATTGATGATATCCACGAATAAAGCCAACCTTGCCTCATTCCAAACCATATTGACCAACCTAATATTAGGTAAATAACAAATGCAACCATTTTTCAAGGCCATGATCACATGAATATTCTAAACTTTTGAAATTACAGAATAACATAAAGTAATCCATCTAATGAAAAGAATAAACTTTGTTTAAATTATTGCTTGGTATGATGAGAATAAATACACATTCATCAAATCTACCCGGCTTGTAGAACTTCAATAAGCATTTGATATCCATTAAACAAATTAAGAAATAAATTTTATACTTTCTACACAGTAATCAATGAGCTAGATAAGTTTGTTCTGCTAGATATTGAGTTATCTTAGGAATCAACTGTTAGTTGTGGGTATAGTCTCATCATCTAAAATAGTATGAGGGACAAGTTATATATAAGTATCTAGTAAAGTATTGGATGTTCATTTATATGGAGTTGGTGAAAAAAGGGATGGATCCCAGGAATTGACAGCTGACTCATGAAATAAGGTCTATTAGACAATTGAAAACTAGATTAATATCAGAAATTTTAAAAATTTCAATTTGTAGTTGTTATTTCCAATGTGTTGCAAAATGAATGCTAGGGAGATTGAGTCGATTAAGTCCTACCTGCCTCAGTCACATCTTAGTATCAGAGCGATTAAATTCTGAGGTTTAAATATGAAATCTTGATTGGATTTATTGTCATTAAAGAATGAAATTTAATTTGATATTATTACTATAGAGCATAGGCTTTTATAGTCTTCCTAAGTACAGAGACGGACCCTAGATTTTCATATTTTATATAATATATTGTTTATGAATATTGGATCTAAAAATATGTATTAAATGAAAATAACAAGTTGTAGGTGGTATGGCTGCGATGGTACCTTAGGATTAAATGGCTAGTTAGCACAATCCTGTATGATAGTTGAGATACCTAAGATTGTTGCATCAATTGAAGGCAATACCCTTAGAGTTGAGAATGTACCTATTGCACCAGATCCTCTAATCACGATGTTTGAAATATGATTCAAAAGCAAATGATGAAAAAGATACAATCTTTTGTTGAGTATGCAACATGTACTGTACCATAGCTCCAACAAAAAATTTAGTACCAGCTACTCATGCTAGCATGCCTATCAGTGTGGAGATTGATAAGAACTTGAAGTTATTCCATAGTTGGAAGTTGCTTATATGTGAGGAGCAGATTTTAAAGCTATTAAGGATTTTGTATTATTAGGATTGAAAATATTCTAAATGGGATGAAGTGCCTAAGTGATAGACATGCATCTTTGAAAACCTTTAGAATTGTGCGCAGGGCATAGTTTTAGTGAAAATGCCAACATTTAGAGAAGTTTGAAGGAAAATCCAATGAATAGATCACTTGGGGTAAGTTTTCAAAGATTTGCTCTTTCTTCTTTCTACAAAACATTTAATTTAGGAGAGTTTTTAAGTTTTACTTGGGGATCCGCGATAGTTATTCAGTATGCGACAAATTTTACATCATTATTGTAATATGCTCCATAGTTAATTTGTATGCTAATGGAGAAATATAATAGATTTTTTGATAGGGCCGAGTGATTAGTTATAATAGCTTTCAATACCACTTCATATAAAATATCTTATTATGTTAAGAGAGTGCAAGAATATTGGAATAAGATATGGCTAAGATTAGGTAAAAGGGGAATATCACAATAAGTAGAGCACAATTGATGATAGAAGAGTAATATCTTCAAAAAGAAAAAAAAAAAAAACATTCATTGTCAAGAGTAAGTGTCACAACCTGAATAAAAATTTAGGATTAGAAGATTTGCATACATAACACTCAATTCCTACGTATTTATATCCTTTAATGATTGTTAGTGCTTTAGGGTTGGGAAATTTACATATCTAACACCAAATTCTTCTGTAATTACATATCTCACACCTAAATTTTCATATTACATATAGGAATTTGGTGTTTTAAACATATGCATGAAAATGTGTATTTCAGTAATTTTAAAAAGGGTTTAAGATTGCTATTTTTGGTTTGATTTTAAAGATTTGAGTGTTATATGTGTAAATATGAAAGTTTACGTATGCTATGTAAATACATAATAGTTTTAATTTTTGGTGTGATATTAAAGTTTGAGAAAAGTGCTAAAACTATCTTCTGACTATTTAAGGAGGGTCATTTTAGTCATCGACTTTTACAAAATGTCAAATTAGTCCAAACTATTTTAGGAGGGGTTGAAATAGTCTCACCGTTAAAGTAAGTTAATATTTTAAAATTAATGGAGGAGCTACAATTTGAAGGGGCATTTTGGAGTTTTAATATTTTTTTTACGAGTGATTTACATACATATTGTGTCACGACCTGATCTGAGACTTGGAATTAACCAAGACGGGAACGGATGGTGAAAATAAATTCCCTGATATCCTATTTTTATTACTAACAGGTTAATATTCAAATATACATGAAAGAGCACTAAAGAAAGCAATTAAAATTAACAAGTAGAAATGTGTATTTTCGGATTGTTGTACCCGTCTCCTATATACATTTGCTCTTCTATTCGTCTTGTTTAAATTTTTAAAGCATAAAAATAAGATTACATAATAAGTTATTTAAAGATAACTCAGGAGTAATCACACTCTTAAAATACATTAACTCAAGGAAAATAATTCAATATGCAAGTTGATATTTTATAAGTCTATAAGAAATATTGGAATATGTAAATTTTTCATACTTTTATAAATCTATAAGAAATATTGGAATATGTAAATTTTTCATATTTCTGTAAGAAATCTGATAATACATTAATGCATGTATCAATGACCTTTTTTAAATGAAAATAATTGCCTTCTATATGCATTTATTTTATCTTTACTTTTACTTTATATTTTTTACATGTATCTCTGTGAGGATTACTGCCAACAAAACCTAACACACATTTGGCCGATATTGTCCCGTCGGCACACCGGTTATTGATGTAAACATCATAATTGTTTAAGGTGGAAAGGCTCTTGCTCCCTGCTCCCTGCTCCCAAAGTTCACAATTGCTCGATTGAGCGTCACCTACACGCTGAAAGGATTTGTACGTGCCACAAGCTCTGGCATGTTTAGTTCGTGCAGAAATGGAGGAACAAGGATGTCCCTTGAGCGCGAAAAGCATCTTGCCCGCGAGGTTGCGAAATTTCCCACACTCTCTTTCTTCTTCGCTTTTCCTTAGGACTAGACGTAGGCGTGCGCAGAGAAGGCTCTGCTTGAGTCGCTTCTCCACTTTCCTTTCCCTGGTCTCGCCAAATCCCCTCTCATGTTCCTCTCTCCAGCTATCTCTTGTTCTCTGTTCTCATGCATTCGGTTTGAACAGGAGGAAATGAGGGGATAAGCTCTCTCTTTAACTCTTGCAGTTGGTGGGAGCGCCGTTTGAACGACACCTGAACATTTTTTAAATAAATTGTCCAAGTTTAATTAATAATTAGAAGATTATTATTATAGCTCATGAGAGGTTTGGCCAGGTAGAAAAACGGATGAAAACAATTGGATCGAATTAATTTATTTGAGATGCTGACAATTCTGTCTTTTCTCTTAAAATGTTTACTTTAAGTGTTGTGGCTATAACTTCATCCCAACTTTTGTTTGCACTAATCTTCTGATTCTTTATTCCTCAAGCTAGAGTCTTCACTTAGCAAAATGATGCATTTCTTTTACGGATATGTGAGGACTATTTAGCTATATTTTGGCAATGCAGATGGAAATTCGAGCTGATCTAATGGATGCACATATGTATGCCTTCCAAAGGTTCACACATAAAAAGATGCCGCACTTCTTATTTTACTTGTAATTCGCCACTATTGGCAATAACACTTTGGTATATGCAGGACAATATTGCAGGAGGTTTTGGATCAAAATGGAATGTTCCAAAGCATTAAACATGATGTTTTTCCATATCTTGTTAGGACACAGATGGTATGCCAAAAATATTAAATATGCATTATACCTTGTTTTGTAGACTTTTAACTTATTCTCAAATTCAGAGGTCAGAAATTTTGGATAAAAGGCCGCCAGAAAATGGAGTGAATGTTGCAGCTTATACCATAAACAGTTTGGATCCTGCTGTTGAAACATTGACTGACAGAACGCATAAGTGCTGTGCTTACATTGCCACCAAAAGCAATTATTGTTCCCGCTTGAATTCTGTTCAAGCTTTCTGTGATATTAATCGCGATGTAAGAGCCACACGCGTGTCATGCTTTCTTTTTTTTTTTACTTCAAAGTAGAGAATTGGTTTGTGTGCTTGCATGTATGTATTCCAAAGCATTGTTTCCGTGGTTGATTTTGGTGGCTTTATTATAAGTTTTTACTTTTCGTTTGGTGCCTTGTATTTTACTCGTTAGCCCTTCAAGTTCCTTATAATGATGATTGTTTGTACCAGGGGACATTGCCCTTGTCAAACAAGCAAATATATTCTCATTTTATCTGATTGTACCAGCTAAATCCTTAGTGGTATGCTACATCTGAGTCATGCATATCACAACCTGTAAATGGGGCCATACTGCTTCTTAATTTGTCACTAGGGCTTGGCATGCATATTTTGTGCTTATTTACGTCATTATCCAGCTATTTTTAAGGCTGTTAAAGTATGCCAATCATTTTATGAATGCAGATGGTCGGAGAGGCTGGTCACCTTTTTGGGTATTCTTTCTCTGTACAGAACAACATTGTTCATGCTTCTGCAGAACTTGGATCCAAAACTACTGTAAGCATTCGCTAGTCTATTCTCTCGTAGTCGCCACGTTAACTGCTTATTCTTTCTTTTTTCAAAACTATTATGCTGTCTATTTGTAAAATTTTTTACTTTGGGAAAGAAGTGATGTGAAGAAATATGGCTTATTCTGTAGGAATCTAATTCAATTCTTAATGAATGGTCATTCCATTTTGAAGTTAGAGGTTTCTTACCCTTAATATATGCCTTCCGTGATTGTTTTCTTACTGGAAATTATCAGGTATATTAAGAGAGCACTATTGTTAATGCCAATTGATGAGCGAACATGAATATAATAGACTTTTGAACTTGTTTATTTAGAAGAGAAGAATTTGGCATGGAGATCTTATCAAAAGAATGAACGCCTTATGTCTAGAAAGGGATCCATGATGAGGGGGGTATTATAAGAAATATTTTTGTTTATTAAATAATCAACCATCAAAATTTATAACTCAAGGTTTTATATTTATAATATAAAGCATAAATTAGTGAACAATCAAACGTTTACTGACATTAAGATGACAATTAGCATGCCTAAATAGAAAAGATGTATATTTTAACCTTGACTAATTATAAATAACAAATAATAATGGAAATATAAATATGAAACATAGAAAAATAATGATATAATTATCTGTTAAGAAAGATTATAACTATGACAAATGATGTGAAATGATAAGTTAAACACGATGAATCAATCAACAATTGAAGTAGCCATCTTGCGCTACACATATAGTTAAATTATTACGACTCTTTTTGTGCAGCCGACTTGGCTAATGGGTAGTTGTGTTGTCTCCAACAACTAGGCCTTGCAATACCTAGCTTATATTGGTGTGTGCATGAATTAAAAAAAAAAATGTTGTTAACAAATAGTTAATTCATTGGCAAAACATTTTATTTGTAACTTCATCCATGCCATTTTTTCTCTTAGTATGAAATACAGGCTATTTTATTGGTCATTTTTTGTCTGCTCATAGTTATGGAGTTTTTCACCCCAAAATTGGGGTTCTTGCTTTGCTTTAGTTCTGGCGGTAATTAAGTTTGAAACACTAGTCTTAATCAATTAGAATCCAAATTACCTCGACTTAAATAACAGAACCATAAATTTAGGGTCGATTTTTCTGGCTTAAATTCATAACCTAATTTGAGGTTAAGATCTAGTTATTATTAATCTGGCTCATATTTTCAAGGTTTGGCTTAATGAACTGTCTGATTAATTAAAGAGCTTTAGTTGACATAATTAAACCCTCAACAACAAGTTGATTCAATCTAGTTATGTCAATGGTAGATTACTCCTACATAACTATAATTATTGAGATTAAGATTGATTGATTTAATCATATATATAGATTCGATTAGTACTATATTCGATCCACTAAATTCATCATGTGTTTTCCGGTGATTAATTAAACATTGCGGGGTATTTTTTAAGCATAAATTTGAAATATGGTTTCATGAAAAAAGAAAGGAATAAAGCATTAACGGGTCAAGTTCATCCATGTTTTTATGGTACATCACCTTTCTTTGTTCATTTGCAATAGTTGAATAGAGTTGTTGTAAGTATCACAATTTTCTTTGCTTGTTACAGTCGCCAATGCTCCTAAACTCTTTATTCGTTGCAGTAACCTAGGCACTATAACCCTCCTATGATTGCGTCACACGATAGCTTAGTTTGTTAAACCGCAATGGTCAGATTTGATCTGTGATAATATCCATCATTGGGCTGAATATGATCTTGTATGATAGGTTAATCTTGGTCATGAATTGGTTAACACTTTTTGAGCATATGGGGCACGTGACTTAAATAGCACCAAAAAATATAAGAGTGTGACATTACCTTCAATTAATTAAAAGCTAACACCTACGCTTCTACATATCCACAACCTCTTTTGCTTAAAAATGTGTTCTAGAGCCAGACCTTAGAACATGTTCTAGAACACGCTAACATGTGGCCTTCCTGATTTTAGAAATAACTAAAAAAATTAAATTTTCAAATGTTCACCATGTGATTTTTTTTAATTACATAGGAAGCCTTCTCGACCTTCTTTTTTTTAAAAATTACTTATCAAACTTTTGTGGCTATTTTGTACTTTAATTCAATTAAACTTGTAAAAGATTGGGAAATTATTAAAAAAAATCATATAAAATCTAAAAAATTTTTATGGCCCATAGATGCGAAGTTTAAACTTTAGTGAACTCTAGATTGACTCATTGCCTTGATATAAATCATCACACTGATTTTTTCAACTCAAATAAAAAATTGTACCAAAGCATGAGTTTTTAAGAGATGCTCAAGAGGTGAAAAGCTTATATGGACAATCCATGCATTTTTAAATGATGCATGAGACACATTACTCATGCCATTGCATTGAAATCTTACTACCATTTCCAAAAAAAAAAATGCCAACATATCAAAAAACATTTCGCCAACATATCAAAAAACATTTCAAAGCACAAACGCATCCATAATTTGTTCAAATAACGTAAGAGCACTACAATCTTCTTTTATATATAAAGTAACTCACAATAATTAATTTGTAATAGCGCATAAATAAGCATGCTAGTGCATAAAAAAAAATGCTAATGGACTCTGGGTTTGCAATTGGTCCAAAATTTCTGTTAAGGGTTACAAGATTTAAAAATTAGTAATGTGCTTTTTTTAGGGTCAAATTATCATAATGCCCCTAGGCCTCAACTTAAATACAGGTAGTGTCAATATTATTGATTAGGCATATAGTTGTAGGACTAGGGTCTGATTGCATAGATTTCTAATTCACCAAGTAGGATTGATCGCATTGATTTCTAATTGACCCGGAGTTATTGGTAAGTTATCACCTTATGAGCATGCTTAACTATGGGCATCATCAAAGAGACCCTTATGAGCATGCTTAACTATGGGCATCATCAAAGTTACAAGAACAAACTTTTGGGCATTCCTCATTTTCAAGGTTGTAAACCTTGCTACTGGGCCTTCTCTACATTCAGGGTTGTAAAACTTCTGTGACCTAAGAGTCTTCTTTTTTTTTTTTCTTCATTTTAATGTAAGCCCCAACCTGATTGTTCAGGCCATTATAAAGTCAATATGCCCATTAAATCATAGTTAATTATTTGCCCTTCTCAAAACTGTGCGCCTCAAATTTGGTTTGGGTACATGAAAAAGATGCAAATTTGTGTTGTAAGGACCTTTAATAGTATGTAAGGTCAACCTTTAGCTAATTTCATAGTAACAAATGATGAAAGGCTACCAAATGAAAGTTTAGACCAACTTTCATGCTAACAAGCGCAACATAATTTCAAACATGCTCCCCCATACATTGAAAGCCTAATCTACCCTCCATGTTTCAACTACTTGTGAATAAGTCTTACCAAAAATCAATCATCAGGCAGGAGCGCTCACCTTCAAACAACTGTGAACCTCCTCTTGAATGTAAGCCTCACCTTTCAAAGTCAATTGAATTGAACCAACTAGAAGCCCTAAAGTCTGGAAAAATAATGCTAGCAAGCTTGCTAACCATCAAACCTGTTTGTTAGAGTGTAGAATTTTTAATTCGAATTCATAGCTTGGGTTTGGGTCCAAACAAGAAATGTTCAGACATAAATATAAAGAACGTGAACTTAACATATTGACACCCTAAAGTGTAATCGACACTCATTAGTGGACTTCAAATTGACTTTAATTTTACATTGGTTGATTTAAACTTTAATTTTTAACGTCTAGTTATGTTCAATCCCTGTGAAACATGATTAGCCATGCATTGTATCTTTAGCTACTCAGTCTATTTGATGCAATAAGCCCTCTACCGGTGAAGTGAATTATGCATGCACCTCAAATAGCTATGTGCTTGGTATGTTTGATCAGTGTCTTCACCAATGTGATGCACAAGGTTCCTTTTTGCTTCCATGCTTGAAATGCAAATCACGGCACGTTTTTATGAACTAGGACATTTATAATTTGCATAGCTTATATGCATATGTTATATTCATGCATTAGTGATTTAATCAACCAAATTTAAGTCACATCTAGTAATAACTTTTATTAAATAAAATGATATGTTAAATAATATTAATTTTGATATCTGGAAACAAAACAAAAAAAATGATTGATGGCAAACATTAAGTCATGAAATTTTAATTAAAAATTATGAATATTTGTGAAATTGAGCAACTGGCTAGAGATCAAGAGGTGGAGGCATAATGATGTGAGAAAGGGCATGAATATGAGGCATTGAGAAGCATTCTCAAGGAGAAGCTTGTCAACAAGAAGTTGTTGGTTCCAACAATAAGCGTCAACATAAAGCATATAATAAAATTAGTGGGTGATAGTGTGACACCAAGAAACACTAAGAAATGAATAGTTCTAACAGGAGAAAATGGAGAACCAATAAGAAACAATTTAATGATTATAAGAAACAAGGTAAAGAAGTGAACTTTTATGCGTAGTTAGTGCGATAGATGCTAAATTGACCATGAGATTCGAACTAAGATTTGGTATATGACCCAGTGGTAAGCGTATAATGCTACAAAACGACAAGAAGAAATGACATGGACACTTTATTGTGAGCTTGTGCTTCACAAGCAATCAATGTGTATGGCCAAAGCATTGCTTTATTCTGACCTTCATTTGACAGCTTTAGTCGAGGCTCTTTGCTATCAAAACCAAACCAACACAACCGTGTCTTAGGCATGTTTTTTCGAGTCAAGTTGATGCTCATGTACAATTGATGACCTTGCTATTCTTCTATCTTTTGTCGGTTTTGTCTTGCACTTTTAAACCAAAGTAACCATTTGCATAACTGTGAACCCTTTAGTCAATCTGTACAATAAGTCTTCTACCATTAATTAAGATGTAGTAAATCTTAAAAGCATGGTTTCAACGCTTTTTCTCTCTCCCTTGTTTATTGAGGAAAGTGGATCAATGGTTGTTAATCTAGATCCAGAGATGTTTCGACTCAAAGTTTTTTGACAAATTGGATTAATTAATAGGCTCCAGATAACAAATCATGGGATATGATTTGGTTTTTCTTACATATATTCATAATATTCTTTCCTGTATGATTGATTCATGATGTAGAATTTCAAATGTATAGTAAGAAACTGTTACATTTTGTTTATTTTAAAAATGCTTAATTGAAAACATTTTTCACCTTGACCTAGAATATTCTTTTATTTGGTTGTATTATTGGCAGTATATCATCGTAATAATAATTTATTTTAGTTACTATTTCATCTCTAGACTCATTTATTTTACTTTATTTTTATCTTGTATGTTTTTGGAATTGTTTATGATGATTAAGGTTGGACCACAATGCATGCTTGATGAAGGTTCAAAGCTGGGTGACAAATGTAGTGTAAAGCGCTCTGTTATTGGTCGACACTGTAGAATTGGTTCTAATGTGAAGGTAGAGTTGAGAATGAAAATTGTTTGTTCTGAAACAAGCTTTACCTCTGCTAAACTTTGATCATAGCATGTATCAACCATCTTGCTTGTTGAATTGGGATGATTTTAGGCATGAAATGTGATTTGCAGATTGTCAACTCTGTCGTTATGAATCATGTCACCATTGAAGATGGCTGCTTTATTCAGGGTTCTGTTATTTGCAGCAATGCGCAACTTCAAGAGCGTGTTATTCTAAAGGATTGTCAGGTAGCCTTGTTATATTTAGATTCAAAATTTGCATTTTTTGTGTTGGCTGATTTTTTATATTATATTTCTACTCAGTGGTATTCAAATTTAACTAGCATTTTACCGTTCACTTTTCACTTCGATGATTGACCAATAAGACTTGATAGTTGCAATACTAGAAGATCATGATATCAATTGGTAACTATACTCAGTGACAATAGAATGAACTAGGAAATTGAATTTAAATGCAGGGTTGATCCGAAGATATGGTGGATTAGGGTTAAGTTGCTCTTCAACTTGTGGTAGAATTTATTCTAGGTGACAATCCACCCATCTGAGTTAATAGTTTTAGCGAGCACAAGTTTCTCTAAAAATTTAAGCTAATATTTGCATTAGTGCTCATCATTGAGAATTTAATTTCCCAAGTGTCTCACATAAATGACATTGTTTATAATGATTTGGTAATTTGAAACCTGGTAATTGTAAACCAACACATCAACATAGATTTTAAAGTATACTCTTATTATGAGCTTTTGACCATATCTAGTTTTTATTAACTCTGTTTGTTTTTATATTTGACAAAATCTGAGATGCTAACACATATGTAACTCTAAGAGGAGCTATAAGAATGCAAGAAAGATGAACTACTGTAGACAAAGTAAGAAGATGAACAATCAAGATAAATTGTTTATGAACAATCGGTGGGCTAAAGTGCTTGGATAATGTTTTTTTTTTATTTTATGTAAGGTGATCAGATCCATGTCACCTCTTCTACTCTTTTAAGAGATTGGATTTTATGTAAGATAGGGAGTTCATAAGGTGATCAAATCCATGTCACCTCTTCTACTCTTTTAAGAGATTGGGAAACTAATATTAGGTTAAAATTTTGAATTATAAATACTCTTGCAACTAAATTAATGGAATTAATAGATATTATGGTTCATAAGAAGATAAATATCATATGAATTCAAGGAACTAAATGAGTTAGAGAAAATGCCAAGAAGATTGATAATCAAGGTTTTAAACTTCGGTATTCAGGTAGGAGTCGCACAATAAATAATATATGTATAATTATAGATAAGAGTTGAAAGATAATATTGTAAAAAGTAATAGAATTGGAGATAAAATTATAATCCTAAATATTATTATTGATTTTAAGATTTTTAATGTTATAAGTGATTATGTAGGTTTAAATATATGTTCAAAAGTAAAATTTTAGAATGATCTGGAAGAATTATTACAAATGATATCTTTTGAAGAAAACTTTTATTAGAGGTGATTTAAATGGACATGTTGGTAGAGTGAGAAGATTTTAGAAATATTCATGATAACTACGGTTTTGGAGTGATTAATGAAGAAGTTAGAACCATATTAGATTTTGCTTTAGCTTATAATTTTGCTATTGCAAATACTTTAAGAAAAGAAATAAGCATATTATTATTTATAAGAATCTAATAAAACACAAATTGATTATTTTCTTATGAGAAAAATAGATCGTCGTGAATGTAAAGATTGTATGGTCATTTCAAATGAAAATTTTAAATACTCAATATTGAATATTTCTTTTGAATTTTAAATTGAATTGGAAGATAAAAAATATAATGAAATATTATCTTAGAATTAGATGGGGGCACTTAAAATACACAAATAAAATTATTTTTATGAGTAAACTTCAAGATTTCACGATTTAGGATGTTCATGAAGAAGTTAATTTTATGTGCAATAAAACAACACGATTTAGGATGTTCATGAAGAAGCTAATTTTATGTGCAATAAAATAACAGACACTATTAAATAAGACAACAAGTACCATTAAAAAGTGGCAAAAAATATACTTGAAGAATCAAAAGGAAAAATTTTATTAAAAAAATAGTTGGTGGTTGAATAATAATGCGCAAAAAAGATAAAATATAATATGTTTTATTATAAAAATTAATTTAAATGTAAAAGTTTAGAGAACTAGGAATATATAATGTGACCCGTAGGGAATCTATGAGAACAATTTACGATGCTAATAATTCTATCTTTAGTGATTTTTATAATATATTATATACTAAAGAGATTGAAAGATATATGTATAAACTATCTAAGAAAAGTAAAGATTTAATTCAAGTAAAGTGTATTAAAGATGAAAATAAAAAAATACTTTTCTTATAGGAAAATATTCAACATAGTGGGTGAGATATCTTGATAAACTTTTCAATGAAGTTTTTTAAAACGTGATTGACTTTAATGATCTTAAATATCGTTAATAATAATAATATATTTTATTTTTGTCATTGCATTAATAAAAAGGAAGTTAAATAGGTTTAAAAGAAAGTCAAGGGTGAAAATCAATAGGACCTAATGGTATCCTAATAGAAGTGGAAATATTTAGGAGATTTGAGAGTTTCTTTTCTAACTAAACTTTTTAATATTATTTTAAAAATTCAAAAAATGCTTGAGTGGTGGAAGAGTATTTTAGTCACCATTTTTAAGAATAAAGGGGATGCACAAGAGTTTAATTTATAGAGGAATTAAGTTAATGTGTCATGTATTAAAATTATGGGAGAGAGTAATTGAACTTATGTTAAAACATGATATAAAAATTTCTCATAATCAATTTGGATTTATTCCGGGCAAGTCTACTATGGAAGCTATACATTTATTAAGAGGTTTGATGGAGAAGTGCGGAGAGAGTAAGGAGGATCTACATATGATTTTTTAGTGATATAGAAAATACTTACGATAAGGTTTTAAGAGAAGTTCTTTAGAGAGTTCTAAATAAGAAAGGTGTTGATATGACTTATATTGAACTCATTAAAGGTATTATACTAGAGATGTTATTTGTGTTTGAATAGGAGGATTGATCAAGTATTTTTCTATTTCAGTTGGATTATATCAGGGATCAACTTTAAGCCCATATCTTTTTTGCTTTACTTATGAATGTTCTTACTGGACATTTACGAGAAGATTTACCTTGGTGTATGCTTTTCGTTGATGATATCTTACTTGTGGATAGGACTAGAGAAAAGGGTTCAGGAAAAACTTGAATGGTAGAGGTTTACATTAGAGCCTAAAGGCCTTCGATTGGAGAAACTATTACATGCAGAGGCCACATGTAACTCTACATCAGGACACCAATCCGAAACTGACACGTTTGGTATTTAAATAATATTACTATACATAAATATTAGTCCGACTCGAGCCAATTAGAAATAGGGTTTGATGCGTATTAAAAATAACGCGACTAAATGTTGAAAACAAACACATACATAAAGTCTTTGCAAGCTTTAGGGTTTATGATTTGAAAATTTTCTCGTTGACTAAGAGAAGAGGAAGAGAAACAAAAAATCTGAAGACGAAGAAACCGTGAGGATGGAGAAGAAGCAGTGGGCTAACTGGATTAGCTCGGATGTCATTGCCCCTTCTCCCTCTGGTGATTATATTATTGGCTTGAACTCATGGGTAGATTTGAAACACAATTTCATTAATATACTTAATTTGTAAGATTGTGCACTAAGAAGCTTCTATTTTTCTTATTTTGAGTGGATTATTGCATATAATATTTAGTATTTCTTGGAGTAAGACTATGTTGTTCTAGTTGTAATACATTTTTTGAGTTTGTGCTGATGAAATGCATGAATAAAATCATATTTTTACACACCCAATTAGTTAGATCAGTTGAAGTGTGCTTAAGGAAGCTTTGAATTTGACTTTTTAGTGTTTTACTGCATGTGACATGTAACATTTTAGTGAGTACAATTATGTTGTATTGGTTATACTGTATTTTCTCTAGTACAACAATTACTTAGATCAGTTAAAGTCTATTTTAGGAAATTTAAACTTTGAATTTTGAGTGTTTTACTGCATACAATATACAACATTTCCTCAAGTACAATCATGTTTTATTGGTTGTACTGCATATTCTTGAGTACAACAATTAGTTAGATCAGCTGAAGTCTGCCTTAAGAAGCTCTAACTTTGAATTTGGAGCGTTTTGCTGCATATAGTATATAACATTTCCTCGAATACAACCATGTTGTATTGGTTGTAGTGCATTTTTTTAGTTTGAATATTCCTATGAGTACTCGATATTTTTTTTAATACAACTATTTTGTATTTGTTGTACTCATGCATTTTTTAAGTTTGTGCTACAAAAATGCAGGGTTAAGTCAATGTTTTTACATGACCAATTTGTTAGAGTGTTTTACTTTATTCATTATCAAACTTTTCATGTAGTACGATCACATTAAATTGGTTGTACCCTTACATCTAATTTGTTAAATGACAACAAACTCGTGAATGTGTAAGATCCAGTGTCAGAATTTGCAATTAATTACGCAATTCATAAAAAAATTGAACCAATTAGAGAAAAATTATTTGACACAGTTGTTCACAATAAGGAGACATGATTTGTTTCGCAGTTATGCCCGTCCCTTGCAGATTTAGCATACAGAAAGATCATGTCAGTTGCTGGCCAAATATAAGGATTATAAAATCAAAAAATTTGTATGCTCAATAGCTGGTTTTAAAAAAGGACACAATTTAAATATAACAATGAAGTTTCAGAAATCAGACATTGGGACTGATTGTCATGCAATAATTAGATTTGTTGTTGATCCAGCAGGCAATTGAATTGTTAATAAATTTATAGAAAACCACAACTACTCATTAGTGAAATCACATTGGGGCATCAGCGAAGACAAACACAGTTATATTGCATTTATTTATCTTGTTAAGGAAGTATGAGTACAATATGTGGGAATTTTAAAAGGAGATACATTTAATTTTATCCAAAAAGAGAAGAATTGGGAATGAAGATACTAATGCTTTATTGCATATATTCAAGGAAAGACAAGCTGAAGATAATATACTTGCATTGATGTCCAATTTGATGACTTTTTTTTTGAGTGATGGCATGACAAGAGTTGACTAGGACTGCTTTGAAGATATCATAGTTTTTTATACGAGTTATTGGTTTAATAAACATGATTTAATTTATGCTCCTTTTGTTGGAGTAGCCTTTTTGCTCTTGTTTTAATGTACAACAAATTTATTCCTAAGAAAAAAATTAAGAATAAATTGATTATAGAGACGGAGTAATTATTTTCTCTTTCAAATTGTTTAAATAGGATCTTTTTGAAGATGTTGAAGTAGTTGCAATGGCTACAGTTTTTGTTGTTTCTAGGCCTGATTTAGTCTGTGCTCCTTTTGTTGGAGTTAATCATCATTGACAAAATGTTTTGTTTGGAGTAGCCTTTTTGCTCTTGTTTTAATGTACAACAAATTTATTCCTAAGAAAAAAATTAAGAATAAATTGATTATAGAGAACAAGTAATTATTCTCTTTCAAATTGTTTAAATAGGATCTTTTTGAAGACGTTGAAGTAGTTGCAATGGTTACAGTTTTTGTTGTTTCTAGGAATGTGAGAAGCCGCTGCTGTATGCCCAAAACACCGACATGTGCGGTAGTGGGCATTCTACCATGCACATGTTGCCATTCCAAAACAGGTCTTAGTATGTCATTAATTGTTACACTCATGTTGGTTAATTTAGATAGATTAATCCCAGTTTTCTCAAAACATTGTTGACCCATGCAAAACCTGACTGACAATTGACAAATTAAGGCTGCTCATCTTTATTTGCACATGAAATGTGGCAGGATAATAAATTCTGTAAACTTAACAAGTATTATGTATTATGAGCATAAAATCAACATCTTCTAGATAGTGAGATAAATGTCTATGATTTCTTTTAAATTGCTGTAAATCAAATGAAACTTTTTGCTCTTGTTTTAAGTACACAGCTAATTTCATTTTGATAGGAACAATGGATAATAGATTCTTTGATACTGGATATTACGAGCAACCTATTTCTTCATCTGATTGGATCCTGACACATTACATTATATACTAGTGATTTATTGTTCTATATCAATATAAGTTGTCTCGAACTTCTATTGATAGTTTTACTACAAAAAAATTTAGCATCCTAAATGTCGCATTAAGTATGCTTTTAGGCCTATCTTGATTTGGTTTATTCTTAGTTCTAATCTTATATGTTGTCTTTTTATCAGGTTGGAGCAGGATATGTTTTGACATCTGGAAGTGAATATAAATCTGAATCTTTGTCAAAGAAATAGAATATCAACCATTGTGAGTATGAGTTTGTGGTCAGATTTTTATTTTATCTTATTTATCTATTTTATCTTTTTTGCATGTGGCCGTGAAATTAGAAGTCTCTGCTGAATGATAGGGTTGAAAAGGATTATGGAAAAACAAACATGAGATATATTTAAACATGAATTCTTTATTCATTTGGGTGTGGGTTCCCAAGACACTCAGCCCAGGTCTTGAGTTTAAGGCCTAGCGGATTAAAAAAAAATAGTATATTTACATACATACCACCTAATTCCTATGTATTTGCATATCTAACACCTAAACTTTACTTTTTATATTCATACCACTTAAATTTTTTGTATCACATAAAAAATACCACAATTTTAATTTTTAAAAATTGAAACACAGTATTTTATGCAAAGATAAGGTGGCATGTAAATATTAAAGTGTAGGCATTAGATATGTAAATACATAAGAATTGAGTGATATATCCATAATTCTCCTTTATAAATGTGCCTTATCTTTTTGATGTTCATAACTTCAGTTCTCTAGCTAACCTAGTGATTATCGTATTTTTTGCTTTCTATATGTAAGCGTGACTTCTTTTATTCATCTTCTCTTAGTGATGTGTGTGGATGCTTGCTTTACGGGCATGTTGGTTGGATTCATAAAGTTTATCCGTCCAATTGAATTGCTCTATACCATTTTATTCAAATTTTATTTTTTGAGCTGGTTGTTCCTCTAATAGATGTGTCTATTTGGGACAAAAAATTTCATGGTGTAGAGTATAATATTTTTTGAACAGGCCTTGACATACTGGTTTCATCTTCAATGCCAATAAAGAAGTGGTTCTGTTACAGGAATGGAACAATAACATAAGATATGGATGCAATTATTCTGTAGAAAAAAGATGACGAGTTATCAAATAGGTTTATATTTCTGGGGTTTAACGGTGAATTTTCCGGAGCTGGAAAGATTCAATTTTTTGGTTTTAGATATGATTGTCTTCTGTGAGTTAGTTTTCTTAGCCTCCAGCTTTCATATCTTACGTAATGTTCTTCAGTGGCATGGAAAAGATAGTAGATCTTGAAGAATTGAATATGTTTTTGATTGTCATATTAGGCTTGAGATACTTTAAAGATGCTGGAGGCATCTCTTCAGGAAGCTCTAAATCTTCAGATTTTGAATCATTTGCTTGGTAGTAGTATCTGAATTATTAGGAATTGTAGATTTGGTTTAAATAATGCGCCCTTGGCTTTCTCTTAGCTCGTCTTTGGAAATATAAACGATAGGGGTGTCAAATCGGGTTTGTGGGTTGGGTTCAAGTCCAATTCAAAATTAACCCGATCCCAACTGTATCTTATTAAACAAATGAAAAAATCAAACCCTAATTTGACTTACCTTTGATCGGACTGACTCAAGCCTAATGCATAACAGCTGTTCAGGTTATTTTTGAATTTTGAGTTTTAGTTTGGGTCAAAATTGAGTCAATTTTGGTTTGGCTGGTCGAATTTGAGTCTATTCGTGTTGACGGATCAGTTTTGAGTAGGCAGGAATTGACCCAAAAAATTAATCTTTTTGGGAGTTTTGATTCAAATCTGACCTAAAAATTAATTGTATTAATCGAAACTTGGATTGTTAAAGGTAGGTTTGAGTCGAGTTCGATGTATTGAATCAATTTTTGACACCCCTAAATTTAATGACTATTGGAAGCTAAGCCGGCTTTGAAAATCAAATTCCTTGTGTAGGTGTTGGTAACTCTGATAAGGAGAATTGGATCAAGGCATCATATGCGAACATATGCGAACGCTTAATTCTGAAGGGTACGTCACACTGTCAGATGGTTTCGGCAGAATCTTGAGTTTGGCGGTTAGGTCCCCCATAAACTCGCTTCAGGAAAACCTAATTCAAGTTCTCTTGTAGAAGGCGATGGGCCGGATCTTTACTTTGTCTACAAAGGAACTGTCTTGTTTTGTCATGTAATATCTTCTTATGACTCATTTGGTTCTTGTTGATTGAAATAATATTTTAGAGATTGATTTTTTTTTCCTCGTGTGAAAACAAAATCCTCTTTTTTTTTTTTATAGGTTAATTTTTTTTCTTGACTTGAAAATTGATATTGATTTTTAATCTTATTAAATTAAATGGCCAAATCTAAGTGTGTTTGGCATCTTTTTTTATTTTTTTTTTATTTATAATCTTTACGTGATTGATTAAAATTGAAAAATAATCATTTAAAAACAAATATGATTTGGTTCTGTACCTCAAATTTTGATCGTTTCTACAATGGAGAGGGAGAGAGGGAGGGAGGGAGCCTTTTAAATGATGCTCATATTTGTTTTCTTCATGATTGTACTACAGATAAGGCTGTAAACGATTTTAGCTTGAGCTAACTGAAGTTTGGCACGTGTTCGTCTCGTATGAAATTAAGTCGGTTCAAAATTGGTTTTGTGTTCAACTTGATTTACATATTGATATTGTTATTTATGTTTGTTTTATATTCAGTTCAAATTGACTCGTTTAAATTAATAAAAATATAAATGTGGGGTGTTCTGATTTGAAAATAAACAATTTCTATGAAATAAAAGTGTAAATAATATGATCCACAAGCTGTGGTGATTTAAATTTAAATATAAATATATATATATAATTTTTTTTTTATATCAAGCTAAAAAAAAGTTTAACACGATGAAGTTTATTTATGTTTGGCTCATTTGTAATTTGAGCTTAAAAATTTGTTTATATTCGACTCGTTTAACAAATAATCGAAAACTAGCTATTTGCATTATGAGCTTGTTTGGGATTATTTTCTGTTTTTTATTTTTATTTTTAATATGTTTTATTTTTGTTTCTTTTTTTATTTTTAAAAAATGTGTTTGGTATTGTCATGATCTATATATTTTTATAAATAAAAAATATATTTTATAAGTTATTTTTTATTTTTTAAAAGAAAAATTTTTAATTTTTTATAAAAAAATTGGGTTCACGTGCGCTCTAATATTCATCTATGCTGCCCATTGCGTATACATCTTTCTTGCACCACCCAGCACGAAATATTGTGATCAGACGAGCCGCCGCAAGCGGCAGCAGACACTAATAAAATTATCATGCTCCTCTATGTTCAAAGAGTTTCTAGATGTTGCCAAAGGCCTAAAAGCTGGATATGATGCGTTAGCAATGGATTATAAATTTTTGATAGTGGAATGATGTGGTGGTAGGTTGGCTTTAACACTTGAACTAAAAGTTGAACTCATTTGACATTTAATAGTTGGAATATTTTACCTCATTTAGTAATAATACATAAATTGGTCTATAAAATTTTTTACGGTAAAAGGACAATTCTTAAATACATCAAAATATTTAACCATCTGACATCAGCTCTACTTCTTTTCAACAATTCTATCAATTAAATTTTTTTTTTTTTATGTTGAAATGAAATAACATAAATGCAAATGAAACAAACAAGCATGATATGGAAGGACTACGAAGACAAATATGCATTGTGGATAAAAAAGAAAACAAGCAAGCACTAAGTTGCAATCGGAATCAAATGTGCAACATATGTTAAAATAATCACTTCATTTTTTATCAATAGAAAGAAAAATAATTTGAATATAATCAGCCTTCTAAAAGAGTAATCTAAGTTGCCAGGCGAAAAACATCATAAATGAAAAAGCATGTTTTTTTTTTCGACAAATTTTACGCTGGTTGTCGACTACCTAACGCAACCCTCCACTTCTCACATTCGGGCTTGGGACCGCCAAGCATGATTTAAAAAAAAAAAATTTACAAGTTATTAGTGAAGGAGAAGCTAATAAATGAAAATTTTGAAAATAAAATAAAAAAAAAAAGGTGGCAACTTAACCTTACCTTGTGAATTAAAAAGTTAGCTCACATTATATGTACAACATATAACAAAGTAAATAAATTTTCCTATAAAATTTTTAAGATAAAAAGAAAATTTAAAAATATATCAATAAAACAAAATATTCAATAACTATCTTGTATAGCCCTATCAATTCACAATATAACAAAATATTTATGAGAATATAGCCAAACTTCACAAAATATGCATCTTGACAATAAATAATAATATCATTGCTTCATATCTTATATGAAAGATCCCATGCATCATACAAGCATTGAATAAATTATTTCTAATGGCGTTCCTATTATAAGCAAGAGATATAAATAGTCACTAAGCTTCCTATCCAATTATGGTTAAGGCATAGAGTATATTTCTTATAGGTAGAAGAACAAACTTTATATCATCCACTTGATCGTAAAGTCTAGGATGTGATAGAGAGTTCAAGTTACATACATCTATAAGCATTATAACTCAAAATTGGGCAGCTCACTATAGTTGTTGTGGAGTTATAAGCTCCGAAAACCTCCTTATAAAAAGCACAGGACTCCCTCATTAATCATATCATAACTTTAATTGGGGCATCTCTTTATGAGGTTATAGAGTTATAAGATTCAAAATCATTTGCTAAAGCCATATTTTTCCCAAAAACTCATTTGGATTATAATTTATGTTCAAACAAAGCCTTAATCACAATCTTTTTTGAGGTTTTAATTAATAATAAAGGATTACCCTTGGGGGGGGAACTTTAAACTTCAAATAAAATAAACTCTGATTGGTCCGATTAGCTAATCAATGGAAATATATGGGATATACCCAAAATGTTTACCAATGAACTTAAGAAGGACATTGTTCATCTCTTTTAAAGCTCATTGAAATTATTTGTTGCAGTGAGCTCGGAATGCAAAAAATCTCCACATATATTATCAAAAATGTTGTATTTTGCCTTCTTTTTGCACTATGTGGGTTTCCATTTTAAAATAATACTGATTTGGAACAATAATATAATGTTGTTCATATTTCAAAAAAAAATAAAAATTTCTTTCCTTAACCCTCATTCATTTCAATATCAATTGTGAATCTAAAATTATTTTTTTCTTGTGCTAAGCTGTAGCCATTGCCTCAAGAAAGATAGCAACAGTCTAAGGTTGAACCTATTTTTATCCTCAATCTAAGAAGTATAAAGTTCCATCACCTCTAAATCAAGATTTAATTAATCTTTGATTGACGTAATTTGACTTCTTCCTCCATGAGTTAAAGCTATCAAGTTACAAAATACAGATAATCAAGGATAGAAGACAAAGTTATTGATGGATTGCCCAACCTTCAATGTCACTAGTTATTATACCCATTAAGTAGGTTTTTGGCTCATAGTCCGACAGCTTAGTTGTGTTATAATAAAAACTTTTGAATCTAGGGTAAAGTATTTTATGAATTAGAAAAGAGATTTTCTACTACCAATTAAAGGTAAAAAACTTGGGTGATCATCACCCCACACACTATCATAATCTTC